ATGCCAAGTATACCTCGATCATCGACAAAGAATGTTCCGGCCACGCTCGTCCTCACTTGATCTCGCTGAAAGGTAAAATGACCCTTGAATGATGCCCATGCCAGCGGCGGCAGAGTCTGCTCCAGCAACGAAAAACGACAGGCCCAACACCTGTTCGAGAAGTAAATGAAGGTGAAAGGGTACGAAATGAAGTGACCTTTAGCCAAGCCGGAACACCCGCGCGGAGCTGGTCGACGAGAGGTAGAATGGCGCTCGCTGGCTTACAAAGGCCCGACTAGCGTTGCAGAGTTTGACCGATTGTCAAAAGCCGTGTCACCATGAGGCGGAGGAAAAGGAAATGTCCATCGTATGAAAGAAGAGCGACCAGATTGGCTCAAGCGTGATGCGTACCAAAGGCCGGTGGAAGTGTGTCATGCTCCGAGCATCACCGCCCGTGACGTCGACTTGTCGAAGGACTTCATTGTCTCTCATACCGGTACCGGTACACTCGTTCACATTGCCGCACGCCTCAAAGATTTCAAGCTCAGACTGCGTCAGCGGGTCCAGAGCGCGCATTAGCGTGTGCAAAAGGATGAGGGTGCATGGAACCGTAGCGGCGGTTACGGTACCTACTACCGGTAAGCACCTACGAGTGCTGCTCTGGAGCGTGAAAGCGGATATTCTCTCAGCGTCTCACTTTGGTGTAGGTACCTACAGCAGTAAACGTGCATGCAGTGACCTCGAGACCTTAAGTCTCACATCTCGTCGGACTGGCCGTAAGCATCGAGATGCCTGTTGTTAGAAAGGCTCCTTTGTGCACACCCTGTCAGAGCAAGGGCAGATCCGCCGTTACTGTGACGTAAGCGGGATCCTCTTGACGTGGTACCATTGTCCAGAACGGAGAGGCAGGAGGTCCGAGCCCAGTGCAGGCGCAGAGGACGCTACAAGACGCTCGACGGCTCGCTCAGATTCATGTGCCGCGATCCGGTGCACCTGCTGTATAACAACTCTCAGGCCCTTGTTGCATTCATGTCGAGCTTGTCGCGAGACGACAGACGTCTTCACAGACGACTGTCTAGCAGGCAACCTCGTCTCCTCATCATCGTAGCCTGCGCGAGCGGATCTAATGATGCCAAGCGCTGCCGACTCCCCGCACTGTGAGACGGAAGCTGGAGAAAGCCGAAGCAAGCAGCTGGCTGGCTTTCAGGTGCGGGAACTGCAGGCAAACGACACGCTCTGTGATCTACTGTAGTTGGCCTGCTTGCATGACCGACGTGCATGCGATGCTGTTCTCGCTCCCAGGGTATTCAGCTTGCTCGAAACCTTTCTCGGCTCAGCCCCGAGCCCTCGGGCAATGGCCTGCCAAGCTGCAAGCAGTTCGAGATTCGCATGTGCAAATCTTGTCATTCGTAGTAGAATCATCTTGGCGGAGAGGTACAATGTCGGTATATACCGACTTGGGTCGATGGCGGGGTTCATGAATTGCATTCGGTCCACAGCGGGAAACAAATAAAGAGACATGGAACACGCACAGGCCCGTTCTCACTTCGCACGATGTGGACGATGTCGCTGCATAAGAGGTGCGCGCCAGGAGCTGCCTCGCCGGGCAAGAGATACTTTGCGATGCTTCGCTGCTCGCCACCACACCGGGGCCCAGCAGTGCCTGGCACAATCGACTTGGCCGCCTATTCCGTGTGCTATACCGATGGAATGCCTGCATGGATCCTTCGAGAGCGGCGACGCGGGATGCTTCGCGAGAACATGACTCATCCGTCCACTCAACCATGACGAGTCCTTTTTTTTTCTTTGCGAGAAATTCCTTGACATCATTCTGCCCCTTTGCGCCTCCCGCCAATTGGAGACTGGCGCAGGTGCTGCGCCCAAAGTCTCAGATGGAGTCACAGGACGACGCTCGTGTCAGGTTGCCAGCCCGCGAGGCATGTGATATTTCGATGGTGCAATCAAAGCTCAGATACGCCAGGCTCTATTATCCAGCACCCAAGCAACCTCGAGATTCTTGAGCGATCATCACCGCAATGGCACGTGGTCTTGCCGCAAAGTGTTCCTGCAAAACCCTCGGACACAGCACGCTCGTTAAGCCGATGACATTCGAACGGAGACGGAAGCTGACCGCCAAAACGGAGCTTGCCAGGTGCAGCGCGCTTGTCGCTACGCGCGTCGCTAGCCAACCTTAGCCGCTATCCCTGATCCTTTTGCTCTGCACATCTCATTTCCGAAGCAACCTGGAGCTATATAGTGGCATAGGCGCGCTCCCCATTTCCCAGCCCTGCCTAATCTCCAAGAAGTGCTGCTGCTGCTACCACCACTAGCACGTAGCGGTAGCAATCGCGCTTCTAGTCCTAGCCCTTCTCCGCAGTACCTGAATCTAGTCATCCACCGGCAATTTCGAGCTCTCCGCTACGCTCGTCCCAGGTTGCGCCACGACCTCGTGAACCCTCGCGCCATCACTCGTCAAGAGCTCTTCTTCTGACCGCATGTCAGCAGTTTGATCCACCAGATTGTCCGAAGCAGTCCCTGGCAGCAATGTCGCTCCCTCAACTTGGGCGCCGTTCTCTCCAGCCATCTCCGTGTCTAACAAAGAGATCGGCAGTACCGTCGCATCAGCTTCTTGCTTGACAGAGTCAAGAGCAAGAGCGTCATCGACGAGCTGTTCCAGCGGGTCCTTTGGCTGCGTAGCTGATCCAATCCCTTCGATCGCACTGTCAATGTCCACGACGTGACCCGTGGGCAGTTTGTTTGGAGTCGACGTTTCCTCTACGCCAACTGCAGAACCAGACAGATCGGGCAGCTCGAGCTCCGTCTCCACCTTGAGGAGCGGCTCGACTCCCGAATCCGTCTCTATCTTGGCTTCTGCCTCGCCACCTTGCCTCTCGCCACCTGGCGTCTCGCCTTTCACTAGACCCACTCGGCCCTGACTTGCCGTCTGGCTTTGGCTACTGCTCGTTTCCTTACTTGAAGGCGCATCTGTCCTTTGCTCCACTTTAGCTTCATCCGACTTTCCTTGCGTATGCTGCTTGTCTTTCTTAGCCTTCTTTTCCGCTTGCTTTTGAGCCTGCTTACGTTCAGCGTCAGCAATGCGCTGCTTTTCGTGCGCTTCTTTCCACTGCAAAGGAACCGAAGCTATTAGCACTGCCCGACTGCTTGCACTTCCGACTCCGCCACTCACCAGTGCGTCCAACGCCTTGAAAATGACTGTAGTAGGAAGGGCCATAATCAAGTCATTCAAATGTGTGAGGATGAGCTCTCCGGACGTGCCGGATGCTGCGCCGTATTCTTGGATCAAGTCCAGCAGCCTCAGGGCAGCAAGGGCAAGATGGTTTTGGTTGGCCGAAAAGGCAGTCTTGTCGAAAGTCTCGAGCAGAGGCGGCGCAACCTCGTGCTTTGACAGCGCAGGATTGTTGGGATTGCGCATGATCTGTGCAACAATCTCATGCATCGCTTCTCCTCCCTGCAACTGATCTGCGATGAACCGTCGTCGTTCTCTTGGGGTCCCAATCGAGCTCTTGTTTGTCCAATCCTGACACACCTGCGATACTGTAGGCAGTGGATCCGGATCGGCAACATGGATCTTTTCTTGCCACACTGGCTCAGACACGCGGGTGGAGAAGGCAGGCAAGGCTGATAACCATTCTCCGACGTCACCGCTACGAAGCCACTTGTCTTCAAGTGTTGTAGGTCTGTCGAGTTGCACATTGATGATCAACTGACTTGCGCCTCGCGCTTCCGGCGCTCCATCGTCGTCCGGCACGTCATGTTCTTCGAGCAGTCTGAACAAAGGGGGAAGCTCATTGAAAGGCCCAGCCACTGGCGCGAGCTTCTCTTCCGAGCTTTCTACTTGCGCGGCGTCGGTGTCTCCTGCGGCAGTCTTCGTTTTGGTCTTCGTTTTTGAAATGACAGGTTCTTCATTTGTTTTGTTCGCCCAAGCATGCTCAAGTTGCCTGCGACTGGTGACGCCGAAGGAGTCAGTCTCGGTGTCGCGAGTCTCGAGCAAAATACCCTTCGCAATGACCCATTCTTTGCCTTTGCGATTCAGGTTTGAGTCGCGAGCGCCGGGGGCAGTTGTGACGTCGACGATGATCTCGGCTCGATTCTCAGCTCGGAAAACTCGCAACTCCTTGACTATTTCGGCATCGATAGTGAGCCGACGGAGCGTCCCTGCGTAGGAGATGCTGATGCGATTGGTGCTGCTCTGAGGGGGCCCCTTGCTGAATGGCGTCCAAGCTGGCTCCACAACAATGCTCGATTCCTTACTCGAATCTTCGCCATCCTTCGACACTTCTTTGGTAGCTTCAGAGGCATCGCCAGCATCTGATGGTGGTGCAGTGTTGTCGCCATCTTGGGCATCGACGGCAGGAGAGCCGGTGGCAGTTTTGTCAGCCTTGAGCTTGGCTCGCGGTCCTGCTGGCGCGTTGACGGGAGGCTGGTGCGCGACAGCTGCAAAATTGATGCGCATGCGACAAACATCTCCTCGTAGTCCGCTATTTGCTGGACCACTTGGCGGCCTTGTCTTGCGCTCCTTGGCTGGATCGATGCTATCCGCAATACTCATCGCGTCATCATCGTCGTTGTCGTGATTCTTCGCGCCAGCTTCAGCCGCATTGTCCTCTTCCTCCTCTTCGCTGGAGTCTTCTACGTCATCTCCATTCTTTTCGCTAGTGATTTTCCAGCCCCATGCTAATGCGGGAATATCGAGGCCTTTGATGCGAAAGTCGGTAAATGTGCGCTTGCTGCCCCCAGGAACGGAGTGATCAGCAGCGGAAGAAGGCTGCCCTGCGATAGCCGGCGCAATCTGTGCTGCTCGCGTAGACTCAAAGGTCGAGACTTGAGATGGACGACCATTCTGATTGCGAGTGGGAACGTTGCTCCCCACTTGTGCTGCGTTGCGTTCACCAAATTTGCGCTGAACTCCAGAAGCTGGAGCCATCATGTTCTGGCTGCTGAATCCACGCTGATTGTTGTTGCCACTGGGTCCTGCTTGCGGTGCAGCCGGACCTCCACGTTGTCCTCCTGATCCGCTTGGGCGCAATCGCGCAGGTTGATTGCCGCCTCGACTGCCAGAAGAAAAGCCGCTGCGATCTCCAGCAGATGGAACGACGCCGGCGGCAGCACCGGCGGACGCGCCAAATCGATTGCCCTGCTGCAGCGCTTGAGGTCCTTTGCCTACCGGGGCCGGTGGACGAGGGAGGCTTGCGACAGGTGGACGGCTTTGCTGAGGTCCCAAGCGTGGACCGTTCGCATTTCGAGCCGACCCGTGGTGGTTGGGGGTCGAGTTGCCGACATTGCCAGCAGGGCCAAAGCTTAAGTGATTCTGCATGCCGCCCGGACCTGTGGGCACCTGTCCGTAGCCTTGCGGAGGTCCTTGCTGGCCCACTGGTAGGACTGAATTCGGACCAGGTGGCTGTTGGTGGGAACGAGCGCCTTGCCATCCATTTGGTTGCTGAGGCATGTACTGTTGTTGTTGCTGTTGTTGAGGTGCTGCAAAAGGTGCTGGTCCAGATTGACCCTGTTGCGGTCCTCCGAAACCTTGTTGCTGCCAGCCTTGGGCGGGCGGCGGCGTTGGCTGACCATAACCTGGGGCGGGCTGAACATTCCCAGGTTGCATGCCGTTGTCACCGTAGCGCTGTCGCTTCGAAGGCGGACCAGCTTGAACCGGTGCAGGGCCACCATGCTGCTGCTGCGGAACGCGTGTGTTCTGGCTGGCTGGATATTGACCATAGTAGCCGGACTGATTTGGACCCTGTGGGGGGCCGCCAGTGTATTGGCCTTGCGGCGTGTTCGAAGCAAAGGCAGTCTGATGCTGAGGCTGGGGCGAGGGCTGTGGGTATGCCGGTCCTTGTTGCGGGGGTTGCTGCTGATTTTGCCACGCAGGAGCCGCGGGCTGACTGTAGGTAGCCTGCTGGGCTGGGGGTTGGTAGTTTTGTTGCTGGGGCTGTTGAGGATAAGCGGTGGAATAAGCCGCTTGTGCCGGCTGAGGCGGTGGACGCTGAGGTTGTTGAGGATAGCCGCCATACTGTGACTGCTGTAGTTGCTGGGGAGATTGAGCGGGTGTCGTAGGAGTTGGTGTGGCCGCAGCGGCAGCTGCCTGCTGAGCATAGTACTGCCAATGCCGATCACGAGGCCGGGTCAGCTTGCGACTCGAGCGCACTTCGCCATACTGACGATCAGTCAGCTCACCTGCTGCCATTGAGCGTGCCACTGCGCCTGCTGCTGCTCCTTCGTCAGTCCAGATTCACCACCTGCATTGTGAGCAGGCGAAGCTGCCACAGGCTGCTGCTGCTGTTGGTGATGTTGCTGGGGGCCGCCATACCCGTAATTGGCGTATGGGCTGGCGGTCCCTTGGGGAGCTGCTCCCTGTGTAGGAGTTCCCGCTGTGCCGGTGTACGTAGCATATGGGCTGAGGGGATGTGAGAAGAGTCACGCGGGGCGTCAGTGTAAGATCACCAGCTGAAAGCATTGAAATGCTCACCGCTTCATGTTGGTGATTGGCAGAGGAGAGATGAGCTCAGAAGTTGCCAGCGTGCAACATCACGCAGGTGGTGGGAAATCGTGGGCGCGGGTGAAAGTGCAAGAGGCGAGTCCGGCGACGAATGGGACACAGATATAGAGCTTTATACGCAATTGTGCAGACTCGCCAAAAGCCATGTAGCGCCCAAAGGAAGAAGGGAAGACCGAGGTTGATGTGAGAGCAATGAGCGCCGCGACAGTAGTGATGTTGCCGAGAGAGTGTGCTGATCTGAGTTCGGGCTGAATCAAGAATAACCTTGAATGCACATCATCAGCAGCTAGGAACGCGACGACGAAGACAGCAACGCCGCCGCCGCGGCCTGGTGCGTCGAATTTGCTGATGGGCGTCATCACGTGCAACGCGCGACATACCGTCTTCATCCGGCGTAGCGGTGCAGCGCGTCCGGAGCCCATCTGCACCCAGCATTTGAAAATTGCCATAGCAGCGATGGCGGGGAGGGCTCCCTTTGACACGCTGCCCAGCACTCGTTTCGCCGAGGCAGTGCCCTCATCTGCGACCCCTTCGCGGCGGAGGCCCGAACCCCAGGCGTGGCTGTAGGCTCGAGTCGTGATCGAGTACATCATCTGTCGCGACCTGTGCACGCGCTGCGCCGAGGTCATCAGATGTCCCTTGCGTACCATACCGTTACCGGAGCCCCACAACGCTGCTCTGCGCGCCTCGCACGACAGCAGACATGCACCTTCCGCAGCTGAGCTTGCTTCGCTGAGGTCTGCGCAATTGTATGCGCGCGTGCGTGATTGAGCCAACTAAAGGCCCTGTTCAATATATGGGCTGCGATTGCGCTCTACACTTTGACTGCTAACATGCTTAGGTCGTAAGCAAGCATTTTTACGTGGTATTTCGTCTGCGTCGTGTCTGCATGCATCTGCTACTGCTGCTGCTGCTGCTGCTGCTGCTGCTGCTGCTGCTGCTGCTGCT